TCCTACGATGGACTAAAGGCCAAAGCCACGGGCCGCAAGGTCCAATCGCCTTACACGCTAGATAATGACATCTTTAACATTGGTTAGGGGTGGACGAATAAGACTCCGAATCAAAAAGCGCTACATCATTTCTATAGCTTCGACGCTACAAAGGGCCTCTATGTCGTGGCTTTCTTTGCAATGTAAAATTGTTGAGTCACTCAGTGCTCGTAGATTCGAACCACTGTACGCCCCTTCCCATCAAAAACCCGAGACGCGAGCAGCGACACGTGCATCGAAGCGAAATACCGCGCAATTTTTAAGTGGCTTGTGATTGGATCTGGCGGTCCGTAGCTTTGGCCTTTAGTCCATCGTAGGGTAAGACAAAGCATAGTAGGTTTTGTTTTTTATTTTAGGAGAAATACAAAAAGTGGGCATATGATCACTTCTTCCAGCGGTTATTACTCCATATAGCATATCATCTGATTGAAAGATTGTTCCGCATGGGTATACTAATGTGGATAAAGCGGATGTTACAAAGGTGAGAGTGTGAATCCTATTGTAGCATGTAAAATACTGGATAAGAGTTAGCAGTTATATCTGCTGTGCATTTTCTACGAATTGGTCAATATTTATTTCTGCAACAAGGATAATTTTAAGATTAAGGGTGCTTGCATATTGTAAAACTGAACCAACGGTTTCTACAAATGTACATCTATTTCTACAGGAGGGTAATATAAGCGAACAACAAGAATTCCTAAATAATTTATAGTGATTCTTTCATAATCACGGTTTGATACAGATAACTTTGTATTTACATAAAAATCAATATATTCTTTTTATATATAAGGCAACACTGCCACCAGTTTTCTCGGGTCAATTTGCACTCTCGCAGCGGCACCCATCCAAATAAATATCACTGTTACGAAACCAAGTTTCGGCAAATGCTAAAACATCAAATATCATTTCTAAGGTATTAACAAAACACTCATATTTATCAACCTTGTTGCGTAAACTTCTAGGAGATTCAAATAAAGAATGAAAAAGTTGTTGGACAGTTTGCAACTAAATGCATTAAACGCTGCTGCATCAAATACCTGTGACGCATCAGTAATTCCTCCCCCTCCAGCGCCATCATCATCTATTACAGCTTAGTTTATCTTTGAGATATCTTGCTTGCAGGAAATAAACAAAAAAACCTCCGATTCATCCGTCTGCATTGCGAACATCTTGCCATTATATATGTCCAGGCGTGCTTTTAGGTTTTTTTTTCCTTTTCCTCGCAAAAACTACGCACAACTTTGTTTGTTTGTTTTTGTTTCTTTGTTGTTTTTTTGCGATAAGTGTTGGTTTACGAAGATCGGCTTGACTTCAGGGTTCAAGTGCCCAATCGTTCTGGGAGTTTACCTTGTCTTGCGGGGCGCCGCATTAAATTCCTTACGTATTTTTCTTATAACAGAACGAACGATCACGTTCTCACAACTCGTTTCCATGAGCGGGGAACAGCGTGACAGATGTCGATGTCCGAATCTTCGAGCGAAATATTCACGAGGGATCCTATGTTTTTAGCGATCTCAGTAGCATGTGTGCCGTTTCGCTTTGGGATGCCCTTTATTTCGACGTTATTCATTTGACTGTACTGGTCGAGGTTCTCGTCTTCGGATTGCATTTTGTGCAGCTATTCCTTTAGGCACTTGTTTTTTTGTTTTGTTTTTTCTATGTACTAACAAACTTCTTGGAGTTTTCTAACGTCTGTGGTTAGCTCTTTTATATTTTCAAATGCCGTTCTAAAGTCCTCTATCTGTGGCACTTTTGCATGCTTCAACACTAGTTTTTGAGTGCTCGTGACTTCGTTCTCATGTCCCGTTTGCAATATTCTATAGCCTTTAAAAAAATTTACATTTCTTCTTTGGCCATACTTTGGGCATAGGAAATCACAAATATATAGAAAAATTTCACTTCTTGTCGGCAGCAGTAGCACACAGCAAACAAAAAGGTTAGCATGCCAAAATTTGATTGATTATGTGCTCAATTCCCATTAATAATGCTCATTTAATTACTCCAGCTTACTTTTGACACATTCCGCCTAATTGACATTTTGATTCCTATATTTATTACTTTGATCTAATATTTAACCAAATGATTTATTATGAGCTCAAGTGATATTGTTAGGGAGAAGAAGACGAAGCTGGAAAAGGAGGGCCAAGCTGCGCGCGCCTCCAGCTGACGAACAACGATCTCGTCTCTCGAACACCTGTAACCAGTCCTTATTAAATCACCCTTTTAACATCCCCACAATATTATCATTACCCTTTTTGATTATTTTGACTTACTGTTGACCTAATTATTTCGGCCTAATTGATATTTAGTGGCTCCCTTAATTACTTGTAGTTAATATACCAAAAGTTGATCTATTAAATTGAATTCACAATATTATTACTATTTTGATTACTTAGAGTTACTTTTGACCAAATAAGCTTTACATTCGGCCTAATTGTCATTGTGATGGCATACTTTCTGGGAGGTAGTATTCACTCAGTTGAATTACTAATGACAATGGGTTTTAAAAAGGCTTAATTGACACTATGGTAACTTTTGAATATTGCGCCTTATTATACCACCATTTGACCTGTTGGAGCTCAATCCAAGTTATTGCTTTTTTAATTACTTCGTAACTTTTGACACTATGAACTTTCATTCGGCCTAAATGATATTGGATGACTTATTTGATTAGTTTGAACTAATATTCAACCAAAATTTTTATTATGAGCACATTTGACATTACGAATACTCTTTTGGTTACATTTGTTATATTGATTAGTTGAACTTTAATTTTTCCTAATTGACATTTTTGTGACTCTTGATTACTACAAACTAATATGCAATCAAATTAGCTATTATTAGCTCAGATCACGTTATTATTATTCTGATTACTTCGAGTTATTTTTCACCCACTTGACTTTAATTCGGCCTAATTTACACTGCAATTTCTATTTTGATTACTTTGGGCTAATAGTCCATTACATACATCAATAGGTTGAATACTAGCCCAAAGTAATCAAAAGTGTTATCCCGATTTCAATTAGGTCGCATTAAAGTTCATCGAGTCAACAGTAACATGAAGTAATGAAAAAGTAATATAATAATGTGATTTGAGCTCATAAATAGATAAATCGGTTGTATAATAACTCGCAGAAATCAAGAGGATCACGCAAATAAAAATTATGCCGAATTAAATTTTATACGATAAAATAGTAACTCAAAGTAATAAAACGAGTAGTCGTAATGTTAACTACACGCATAATAAATCAATTGGTTGAATGTTAAAAACAGTAATCAAAAGAGTTGTCACAACGTCAAGTAGGCCGCATTAAAGTCCATCGGGTCAAAAGTAACTCAAAGTAATACAAAGGTAATATTACTGTGAGTTCTGCTCATAATAGAGCAATTGATTGTAAAGCTCTAAGTACTCGATTTTGTCAATAAGATATACGTTGGACCGATTAAAGTCCATTGAGTCAATTATAACGCGAAGTAATCAAAAGTGTATACATAATGTCAACTATGCTTATAATAAATAAATTGGTCGAATAGTAACACAAAGTAATCAAGAGTCCTCAGAATGTTATGTAGGTCAATTAAAGTCCATTGCGTCAAAACTAACTCAAATATTCAAAAGAGTACCAATAAAGTGATATGAGCTCATAATAGATTAGTTGGTGGCATAATAACTCGAAGTAATAATTTAGCTGTCACGCCGATGTTCATTATCTCGTTAACATATCAATTAAATAAAAGCGGTCCTAAAATGCTGCCTTGAGGTACCCCAGTACTTATTGGTTGTATAGTTGAGCAGGAACTAATGATGTTAACGTACTGCCTGCTAACGCAGGCAGTACGTTAACGTCTGCTTTTTTTTTGTGCAAACATATATGTGACCTGCCAAACAAATATTTTCGGGGCTACGCAATTTAATTTTAGTTCAATTTAAGTTATTGATTCCTTAGGGACCCTTCTCCAAGTCAGTGGTATCAATATCGAGGAGTAATAAAAAGAGTAGTAATAAATAGCAATTGTACTTTTATCGTCTGAAATGTATCATTTATAAATCGAAGTAATGAAAACGAAAAACAAAACGTCAATTCAGTTAAAGTCGAGTGCGCCATTAATAACTCGAGGTTACCAAAACACTAATCACCATGTCAATCGTGCGACCAGTGACTCCAGGTAATCGAAATAGCAATCAAATTAGCAGTAGTCCCCAACAAAATCTAATTGTATAAACACATGCTCTAATTTATCAAAAGTGTAAGCCAAACCCGACCACTGCAAACGAAAACATGCTAGAATATATTTTGAATCGAATTGACTGACCACGGTATTAAAATGAGTAGAGCTGGGATTAAGTTTAAGGGTACTTGAATTAAATTGAATGGCACTTGGATTAAATTGACCACCATTTGGATTAAAATGAAAGGGAAAACCTGTACAAAGATCGCCAAAAAGATTCCGGTCTCTACATTCAGACAGGCCGACGAAAAAACTGAGAGCATAAAAAGCAAAATAATTTAATTAGTAAAATTATTCATACTAAAATAATTAATTAAAAAAATTGAATGAAAAGTAATTAATTACAATTTACAAGTAACGCGTTATGTATAAATCTGGCACTCGACTATTCGGCCACGGCCGACGATGGAATCTAGAAATTGACACCTGTGTTAGGCTCTAGTTTTATATCGCTACTGTATAGACGTTTAGCTCTTGCAGAAGAAACACACAACTAAGATTGCGCGATATACTTTGTATTAGGTATTGTACATAATTTGAAGTAAATGATCTAGTGATATAAAGGCATCTCTGAATGCCGTCTCTTTGGCAAGTCCATTACTAAATTTAGCCGAACTATGTGTAACGAGTGTGTGTACTCTCGTTTACAACAAATTGTGAAACAAACACTTCTTCGGCAGGTGGATTTGTTTGAACTGCCAATACTCAAGCTTACTCTTTCTCTCTTCCAGATCTTTTTGAAGGCGACATCATGATTCGCAATAAAACGGTAAGCTCCTTTTTTACTTTTTATGTGTGCAAAAATAGTTGTGACCTGCCAAAGAAATACTTTTTCGGGGCTACTCATCTTTATTTTTTTAGTTCTATTTAAGTTATTGATTCCATAGGGGCCCTCTCCAAGGGCGTTTTATTAGGAGGCGCCTGGCAAAGTTAGCAATATGCAATAAAAAAAGCTCGAAAAAACAACAATAACACTCGCAATACCGCGAGTAAAACTAAAACGAACTAAAATGCAGTGCAAAATCAAATAAACGCCAATGAGCGCACAATTGGTAACACATATGTTCCTAAAAAGTGCGACGACTTTTTCATCGCAAACACCGTCCTACGCAAATGAAGTGGATATACAGACGCTCAGAAAAAGTACCAAAGTAGAGTACTCACATGTAAAGACAACCAGCTAGCACACCGTGACGGTTGCACGCACCGTGCTCGCGAACTACGCACCCTGCAGGGGGGATCGGTGGCCGAGTGGTCTAGCGCACACCAGCTTGGAGCACGTGGAGCGAAAGCTCGCGCTGCAGAACCCAGGGATCCTGGGTTCGCCCCTGCCCGTTTCGATCTGGATGAGCATCGTACCGGCGTGCGGTCGTGTATCACTACTGCGTGATGCACGTTAAAGACCCCAGGCTAGCGGCTGTACCGCACTGGCTAAATTTCTCATCTACAGCTGGGAGACTCGTCGCCCCTGTGAGGCAGACCAAGTTCCAGGCTGTATAAACACACACACAACCCAATTTTTTTTACGCACCCTGCACGCTTGAACGCCTCTCTCGAATGAACGAGTTCAAGAGGAGGAAAACAGTTTAGGCGCTCCAGATGGGATTTAAACAAAGGTGATAAAAAGGGGGTGACTAGCTGCTTTTGAAAAACGCACGGTCAAAACAAAGAAACACCATCTTCCCGAGGGGAACCATAGGGTGATGCGGAGCATCGCGGATCGTTATTAACGGTGTTAGTAACGTTGTTGAACTTCACGGTCCCGAACCTCAGGTTCTGCTGCTCGACGTTCACGAACCAACGCGGCTTCCCGTTCTCGAAGGTCGCGTTCCGCCGCTCGCTTCGTACGTTTACGTTGAACTTCACGGTCCCGAACCTCAGGTTCTGCCGCTCGACGTTCTCAAACCGCCGCTGCTTCACGCTGTCGTAGTTCAGCATCCGCCGCTCGACGTTGACGAATGGACGCCGCTTCTCGTTGCCGTAGTTCAGGGTCTGTCGCTCGCTTCAAGCGTTTGCGCTCAGCGTCGCGTGCTCTTCGCTGCGCAGCTTTGTTTTCAGTGGACGTAGCGTTGCTGTTAGTTTGTGGGGTGGTGCTGACGCTTGCTTGCGCCAACCCACTAACTGAAGGGACTGTTGCTTCCATCACACTTCATCAGAAGAACGGAGTGAAGTGTTGTCAACAGCGGGTGAACTGAACGCGCGCAGCGCGCTACCGCTGCTTATATTCACACTTGAAGGAGAAGAGACTAGAGGAGGAGAGTTGCGCATGCGCGCGCGGTGTGAGTAGAAGCGAACGCACGCGAAGTGCACGCAACTTGTAGAGAGAGAGAGCGGAGAGAGTAACGCGCAGCTGTTGGAGAGAGGGAAGGAGGAGAGTTGCGCATGCGTAGTGTGAGTGCAGACTACGACGCCGCGGGACATATACCCAAGCAAGAGATGCTCCGCATCTAAAAAAAAATTAAGCAGTGTCCAAGGTTTTGGTCTGCTCTGGGCGATTGGCGTCCCGACGACATGCGCCACAATGTCAATCGCGCTCGTCGAGGCTGCGGTTTTAGGCGCCTCCAGATTTTGTCACTGTGGAACGAACATGCCCCCGGCCGTCGACTTTTTGTTTTTATTTTGACGTTTATGTTTGATTTTCCTCTCCTTGAGGATATTACTTAGCAAGAAGAAAAAAAAACACGCAGAGGCACACACAAAGAATAGCTCCTTAGCCACTTGGCATAGTTTCACATTACGATGTCCCACGACGGGTGCTACGAGCTGCCTGCGAAATCCATAGCTCGTAACTTGTCGCGTGACTTCGGGCTCCCCGCTTCGCACCGCTCAACCGGAATGTCACTTGGCTCCCTTCGAGATATGGATTGCCTTCGGTGGCTCGTAGCGTCCTTTGCGGTTCATGGTAAGGTGAAACACAGTACCATAGAAATGTACGCCATCGTGCCGACTCGCCAGTGACAAAAAGCGCTGCGCATAGACGTGAAATCACTTTTTTTATTATTATTATTCCGTTCTTTCTACGTTGCTGACAATTGCTAAGTCAAAACTAAGCCGCTGACACCACCGTCGCAAATATATAATGGACCTTTTCCGAGAAGCGTTCTGCGCACGCTCGAGCGCCCAATGCCAAGCGGCGGAAGTCGGAACGAAAAATCGAGGAAATTCGGAAGGAGGCTGTATATCAGCGAGTAGGACACGTAACTGAAGCGTACATATAATTGTGTTACACAAAAAAAGAACGTCGACGGAAAGGAAAACACGACGTTTGGGTGGACGCCACGGATGCCCCTCTTTAAAGTCTCGTTGGGCAGGCGCCGCTGCTCAGAGAGCGAAGAAACTAATAGCGTAGCTCCCATTATCGATTGGTAGCGCAGGTAGGTCACTTCCTCAATTTTTAGTTCGTGCAGCCACCGCCTGGTGCCGTCGGTATGTGGAAAAGGTCCATTGACTTCGTGCCGCCACCCGTAAGAAGGCGCGAATCACATTTGATAACGCCGAACCGTTTTCCAATGAACCCGTAACCGCAACGTGAGATTGCGGCTCGGTTCAGGCTGGGATTCAGTATTCAATGCTCGATTTCGATTACGGTTTTTCTCCGGTTTTCGGTTCGGGTTCAGTTCAACGACCTGGTACACGCCAAAATCTGGCATCAGACAGAGTTGAAACATAAAGTCTAATTGCGCCTAACAAAATACGCAATAATTGAATTTCCAAAAACTACCTAGTCACTTTTTACACGATAAAGTCGGAAGCTCAAAGAGGTATATACTAAACACCTAATGTTACAAGCGCAATGCTAATGTAATATCTCGAACACTTCATACAGAATAAGATACCATATCAAATTACTCATTAATATTGGAACGATGCTATCGAAAAAACCATCGGTAGACACCGATTTTATATCCAAATAAATATTAAGAGCGCTCCGTAGCTGCGCGCCCACTTTGTGAACGCAGAGAATATACGAACGACGAAATAATAACGCAGTTCCAAGCACTCCGTCTCAAAGCTCCGCGTTATCTTTCCCATGTACAAAATTCCAGTCTCACAAACTATGCACTCGCATGGTCGTATCCGTCAAGTTGATGATAGGATTAGATTGATAAAGGGGCTGTCGTTTCCCCGCTGGTTTATCCTCAAGCTCCTTTATTGCATCAATGTCCAGACACATTAGTATCTCTACCTCTTGTTTGGATTTCTGGATTCTATTGTTCCACACATGACTAATGTGGTCCAGGCAAAATATTTTATCGAAAAATGGTTTCTTTTTCTTCTTTTATTTTTATCTATTACTAAATCAGGCGAGCAGGTAAGAGTAACTCGAAAGAGGCCTGGTGACGGGGAATATATTTTGCCACATGATCCAAAGGTTATATTTCGTATGTAAACGTTAAATCAGCCAATAGCTGTGACCTTTGTGATCCGTTATATTAGAGGCTGAAACACATATGCGGAAAACCGTTTGAAAATGGGATGAAATAAAGAACATGCGAAAATTGCTTTAAAATGTTTAGAAAAAAACTAGTGTATTCATTGCAGGTCAAATACGAATACGGACTCGTTAAAATCATATTTGCAACTTTCCGAAACCGCAAATACCGTCACGTAGGTAATTCTTTATTTATTTATTTTTATTTTTTTACCTTGGTGTGAAACAATAGACCGATGTCACGAAGCGAACTGCGCAGGCTCGCGAATTCTGGAAGTAGTGCCGCCGGGTGTAGGACAAAATGGTCCCGATCATAATGTTTCCGGTCAAAATGGTCCGGGACAAAATGGTCCCCGACAAAAAGGTCGCAAGTGCCAACTCGGACAAAATGATCCCAAGTGAATTGATCAATACTTTGAGCACTCTTAATAAGACAAAATGGTTTGGTACTTTTATTTCGACACACGTTCAAGAATAATATCAACATTTTCTTTATAATCATTTGAAACAAAATTATAAATCCCTTCTATCTATACCATGTAGCTCTATTCCTCAAAGGTTCTCGATTTCTACCCATATATTCCACGTTATTAACCAATATCTTTTTATCGCCAGAACCTGTTTTCAAATTAGCGCTATATCGAAATGAACCTGCCGTGCCACGGTGTTCGATTTTTCAGACACAGTATCGCTCTGTCTGAACATTGTATATTAAAGAAATCAAAAATTGATTTCGCAGTTATGAGCGTATTTGTTACATAGACCACTTGAGAGACAAGAAGTCGACGCTGCTGAAGCGAAGGCCTAATACGAAAATGTATTAATATGGCCCACACCCCTCAAAACGTCGTTCAAGGGACGGAGCCGTTGCACGTGCTGTGTGCACAGAGTTACAAGCCGCTGCTAATATCCATCAAGAGTAGAAAATACAAAAAAAAACTGCAAACTGGAAATAAATAATGCCACGCTGGGACCATTTTGTCCGGGATGGCAGTTGGGACCATTCTGTCCGGGACCATTTCGTCCGGGACCGTTTCGACCGGATCCCAGTGCCGCCGCCATTCTACTTGTAGTCATTGCTTTCCGGCTTCCCGGCTGCATAGGGCAGTGGTGCGCGCACTTCATCGTACATCATCGTTTGGTACGCCCTGGTTTCACCTTGGATTCTTTTGCATGTCTGTGCTTTGTAAGAATGAGCTCTTTGTGATGTCTTACTTAGTCTGTCAGAAAGTAATCCGGTCGTCTGATCTCTTTAGAATCGCTTTGTCGTCTGCTTCGTCGTCGTCAGCTTCTTTTTTGTGAACGCGTGAACCCACCGCATTCACACGGTGGTCCAA